TCCAAACAATAACCCCAACTCCCTCTCTCCTCCTCCCTATCTTCCAGATGCCATCACCAATCTTCAATAAAGGTAAGTAAAAATGTTATTTTATATTACTATACATAATTAAAGACTATAGCATTTGTTGTGTGTATGTAAAACTGTAATTAATCTCTATAAAATGTATTTTTTTTGTGAATATTTTTGGGTTTCTGGAACGAATTAATTGTATTTCCATTATTTCTTATGGGAAATATTGCTTCGAATTTCAGACTTTTCGAATTTAGAACTAGCTCCTGGAACGGATTAAGTTCGAAATTTGAGGTTCCACACTATAATAATAATGTACTACATGTAATAATTATAATAATAGATGGCTTGAAAAGGCCGTCACTAGATGGCAGTGTTTACCACAACAAAGAGGGAGCGGTTGTGGCCGCCTCCACCTTTTTCATAATGACATATTTTATTCATTCTAGAGTATATACATGTATTGTGTTTCTATGTTATTTATATTGTCTGTTATGTCATATTAGATGAACTGTGATATATAAATAAGCCGTATAGATAATACCATTAGCGAAATTATTCATGAAGAATTTTGCCCGGTGTCCAGACAAACTCTCGTCCACCACCGACACCGCCCATACCACTACATGAATGACATACATGTATTTTATTCATGCTAGAGTATATATCATGTTTCTATGTTATTCATATTGTTTGGTATGTCATACTAGATGAACTGTGATAGATAAATAAGCAGTATAGATGATATTAGCGAAATTATTCATGAAGAATTTTGCCCGGTCTCCAGACAAACTCTCGTCCACCGCCGACACCGCCCATACCACTACATGAATGACATATTTTATTCATTTTAGAGTATATATCAGGTTTCTATGTTATTTATATTGTTTATTATGTCATATGAGATGAAGTGAGATAGATAAATAAGCCGTAGAGTTGATATTAGCGAAATTATTGAAGTACAGAATTCCACTGGAACGGATTAATTGCATTTCAATTAATTTAAATGAGGAAAATTGATTCTGCAAACGAGCAAATCCAGTTGTGAGCAAGGTCATGGAATGGATTAAACTCGCAAGTAGAGGTTCCACTGTACAGTGGTCCCCCGCTTTTCGTAGTTCCCGGCAATCATAAATTTTACCAATCATAGGGGCATTTTCGTATAAACATGGACTCACTTTTCATAGGTTGACTCGTGAGTCATAGTTCGCCCGGGATGTGTACCCACGGCGTGAGCTGGGGCGGCAGCCAGTCTGGCATTGTTTACCAGTGAGCGAAGGTCCCCTCACGTGCTCCAGCGAAATATTTCATAATATTCCATTTATTTAAGTGCTTGCAAGTACTAAATAAGCTACCATGGCTCCAAAGAAAGCTCCTAGTGCCAAGCCTGTGGTAAAGAAGGTGAGAAATATGATTGAAATTAAGAAAACCATCATTGAACAATATGAATGTGGTACAAGTGTGGCCGAACTGTCCAGGATGTATAAGAAACCCTACACAACCTTATGTTCCATAGTGGCCAAGAAAAAGGAAATAAAGGACGCTGTTGTTGCAAAGGGAGTAACTAAGCTGACAAAAATGAGATCACCAGTACTGGAAGAGGTTGAGAAGTTATTATTGGTGTGGATAAATGAGAAACAATTAGCAGGAGATACTCTTATGACTTCAATTATTTGTGAAAAGGCTAGGCAGTTGCATGAAGATTTGGTAAAGAAATTGCCTACAAATAGTGGTGATGTGAGTGAATCTAAGGCCAGCAAAGGCTGGTTTGAGAGATTTAAGAACCATACTAGCATACACAGTGTGGTAAGGCATGGTGAGGCTGCCAGTTCGGACCACAAGGCAGCTGAAAAATATGTGCATGAATTCCAGGAGTACATAGAGGCTGAAGGACTGAAACCTGAACAAGTGTTCAATTGTGATGAAACAGGCCTCTTTTGGAAGAAAATGCCAAAGAGGACCTTCATTACACAAGAGGAAAAGGCAATACCAGGACACAAGCCAGTAAAGCAAATGGTACCTGAGGTGTTGATGGAAGGGGATTCCCCTTCCAAACTATAAACAATCCACTCTCTCTCCTCCTCCAGTCTCCCATACACTAAGAAGAATCTCCAATAAAGGTAAGTGTTATGCTGTTAATGTTTCATTCATCATTTCCCATTGTATTGTTTATGTACTACATGTATATTTCATGTAAACATTTTTTTTGTTTTAATACTTCTGGGTGTCAGGAATGGATTAATTGTATTTACATTATTTCTTATGGGGAAAATTGATTCGTAAATCGTAAATTTCGTTTATAGTAACGGCTCCAGGAACGGATTAATTACGAAAAACGAGGGACCACTGTATATTGTTCCTGCCTCCACTACATCACTTGCTAGGCTATTCCATTTCCTGACAACTCTATGACTGAAGAAATACTTTTTAACATCTCTGTGACTCATCTGAGTCTTCAGCTTCCAATTGTGACCCCTTGTTTCTGTGTGCGTGTGTGTACTCACCTAATTGTGGTTGCAGGGGTCGAGACTCGGCTCCTGGCCCCGCCTCTTCACTGATCGCTACTAGGTCCCCTCTCTCTCTACTTCCTGAGCTTTGTCATACCCCATCTTAAAGCTATGTATGGTTCCTGCCTCCACTACATCACTTGCTAGGCTATTCCACTTCCTGACGACTCTATGACTGAAGAAATACATGTACTTCCTAACATGCCTGTGACTTGTCCGAGTCTTCAGCTACCAATTGTGACCCCTTGTTTCTGTGTCCCTTCTCTAGAACATCATGTCTCTGTCCACCTTATCTATTCCACGCAGTATTTTGTATGTTGTTATCATTTCTCCCCTGACCCTCCTGTCCTCCAGTGTCGTCAGTCCGATTTCCCTCAACCTTTCATCATAGGACATTCCCCTGAGCTCCAGAATTAACCTTGTTGTAAATCTTTGTACTTTCTCTAACTTCTTGTGTGTGTGTGTATTTGGGTGTGGGTGGGAGAAGGTGTGTACAAGTGTGGGATAGTGTGAAGGAGTGTACATGTGGCAGAGGGTGGTTAGAGTGTAGGTGTGAGTGGTCAGCATTTACAGCGTGGCAACAGTTCATGTATATGTGTGTGTACGCACAGTCACATGTACTCACACGCTTTTGTGTGTATGTAGTATTAGTGAGGTCTGGTAGACTACTCCAGACTTGAGTTTTTGTATCCTAATGTGTATTTACTAGACAGTTCTGTTTCTTAGTAGAATGTTACCTTCTCTATTTATTGTACTTACTAGTGGCACCAGTCCAATAGACACACCTGCCTACCCACCCTGACTGCTGGATTTAAGTACAGTTCGACCATCACTGATCCGGCATCATCGGAACCAGTAGTTTGCCGGATTAGTGAGTTTGCCGGATTACAGAGTGGTTAGGTTAGAATACACTTAATTAACCTATCAGTAGAGACTCTTTCTGCTATATCGTCCTCATTTTCATCACTGCTTTCTCCTCCACTGGCTTGCTGCTGTGGATTTACAACCATCTGCACAATTTCTGAGTCAGTATAATGATGAAATTTGAGTCAGTATAATGATTTAAGTCAGTATAATTATGAAATTTGAAATTATGCTAGCCAAAATTAGTGCTGGATTACTGGTGGAACCAGATAACTGATTGCCTGATTAGTGGTGGCCGACCTGTACCAAATACTATGTGTACTCACCTAATTGTGGTTGCAGGGGTCGAGACTCAGCTCCTGGCCCCGCCTCTTCACTGATCGCTACTGGGTCCTCTTTCTCTCTGCTTCCTGAGCTTTGTCATATCTCTTCTTAAAACTATGTATGGTTCCTGCCTCCACTACTTCACTTGCTAGGCTATTCCACTTGCTGACAACTCTATGACTGAAGAAATACTTCCTAACGTCCCTGTGACTCGTCTGAGTCTTCAGCTTCCAGTTGTGACCCCTTGTCCCTGTGTCCCCTCTCTGGAACATCCTATCTCTGTCCACCTTGTCTATTCCCCGCAGTATCTTGTGTGTCGTTATCATGTCTCCCCTGACCCTTCTGTCCTCCAGTGTCATCAGTCCGATTTCCCTTAACCTTTCCTCGTACGACATTCCCTTGAGCTCTGGGACTAGCCTTGTTGCAAACCTTTGTACTTTCTCTAACTTCTTGACGTGCTTGACCAGGTGTGGGTTCTAGACTGGTGCTGCATACTCCAGTATAGGCCTAACATACACAGTGTACAGTGTCTTGAACGATTCCTTATTAAGGTATCGGAATGCTATTCTCAGGTTTGCCAGGCGCCCGTATGCTGCAGCAGTTATTTGGTTGATGTGTGCCTCCGGTGATGTGCTCGGTGTTATGGTCACCCCAAGGTCTTTCTCCCTGAGTGAGGTCTGTAGTCTTTGTCCACCTAGCCTATACTCTGTCTGCGGTCTTCTTTGCCCCTCCCCAATCTTCATGACTTTGCATTTGGCTGGATTGAATTCAAGAAGCCAGTTACTGGACCACATGTCCAGCCTGTCCAGGTCTCTTTGCAGTCCTGCCTCATCCTCGTCCGATTTAATTCTTCTCATGAACTTCACATCATCTGCGAACAGGGACACTTCAGAGTCTATTCCTTCCATCATGTCGTTCACATATATCAAAAATAGCACTGGTCCTAGTGTGTGTGTGTGTGTGTGTGTGTGTGTGTGTGTGTGTGTGTGTTTGCTTGTGTGTGTGCATGTTCAATTTGATTGATATCAGTCAGAAATCATTCTGAGTAATGATTCACACACACTGCATCACCTTGATGATTTTGTATTTGTTGTAAGCTTATAATGAGTAATTATAACACTCAGTTATTCCATGTATCATTTGGGGTAATTTACCATAGGCAGCTGAAGTTAATCAAAAAAAGTTTTCTTTAGTACCATGGTGTATAATACCATATCTTGTATAGCACACCGTCAACTATACATATCTTGTAGCACTTCTAAATGTAGTAATGATAATTTTTATTTCCCTCAGATGTCTGGTACCTAAATGCGATATCAATAGAACCAACCCAACCTATAATGAGAGCTTTATTTACTTCACTATTCCATACCTCAATGCATCTGCAAACTATGATGAATGCCATCGATATCAGCGACTAAATGACAATGATTCATGTTTACCAGAAGACTACAGTAAAAGTAACACCACTGAATGCCCAGAGGGGAAGGTATTTGCAGATGATGTCTTTGTCTCGACAATTGTCACAGAAGTAAGTTTACACAGGTATATGATTTTACTATTCAACTTCCACACCTAATTAATTTAATGCCCCATGAATAGAAAAATACTGTATTAACTCCTTCACTGTCATGACCCCTGAAATTAAAAGTGCTGATAATGTTGTTATTGAAGCAAACCTAATAAAAACCCATAAAACAGACTTATTGGAGTAGGAGGACCCTACCCTTCTTCAGAAAAATCATCAAAAATTGATTGAATATTGCTGCTACTTGTGGTCCTATTTCACTAGTTTCTTCAGTTCTGTCAATTGATATCTAGAAACATCCATTAAAGTCATAAAAAATGCCCTAGAAAACACCTCAGTCATTTTATTAAACCAAACACAAGGTTAGAGGTTTGCTTTTTCCATCATGCACTGCATGTTACAGGATTTTTTTATAAGTTGCACACTCCCTTCACAGGCTTATATTCTCTTGTCTGTGCCAAAATTTATTGATCACAGCATATTTGATGGCACTGTGCTTAAAACAGATCTACATGAGTGACACTGGCACCAGTAATTCAGATCTCTAGTGAACAGCGGATGCCATCATGTGGATGAATTCATTTTGGACACCGAATGAAAGATAAAACATGGATACAGGATTAATTTCCACATGAATGAGGTGTTCTTTCATGACAGGGTCAAAGATGGTCAGTAATTTCAGTAAACCAAGGAAATTTCCCACACCGGAGTCATCTTCCAGCTGATGTGACTCCCTGTGTCCTTGCAAAGCCAAGTTCTGAGTCACAAGGAATTTCATGCAGTGAAGAAATCTCAAGATATCACACCACTTCTACTTTTCCCTCTCAATCTTTGCTAAATTTCTTTTCATTTCTTTGTACTTTGTGAAGCATTCCCAATGATTCTTATCATTTTCATGAACGCTAATCCCTTTAGGTGTTTTCCACTGGTTAAATCCACTTTTCCTGCTCCAGTGAGGACTGATGGTCTGACCAGGAATAGAGATGACAGCAGATACAAAGTGCAGACCTTTTAGAAGGGGATTAGACCTACCATAAGCAAGTCACTTCCTCACCATGACCATTTCCCAATTTCCTCTTGAACCAAATTTTTTTCATTGAGTGGTTATTTGTTGGTAGGAAAGGCCCCTCACTGTTCTGGAAATACTCCGAACCCAGCTTTATTATATCTATTCTCAATACTTCAGGTATAATTGATTTTCCAGTATTTTTGCAGAACTTCAGAAGTCCATCGACATGCTGTTCAATCACTTCTTGTATGACAGTTCAAAGCTCTTTGACACCATCCAGTTCAATAGGTTCAGTTTCATCAGGTAAAATGTCAATAAACTCAACATTGCCACCACCATCGCCTTACCCTCCTGTCATGTCCATGTTCTCTCTTGCAGCATCACTTTTAACCCTTTGACTGTCGCGGCCGTATATATACGTTTTACGAGGTGCCGTGTTTGACGTATATATACTCATAAATTCTAGCGGCTTCAAATCAAGCAGGAGAAAGCTGGTAGGCCCACATGTGAGAGAATGGGTCTGTGTGGTCAGTGTGCACCATATAAAAAAAATCCTGGAGCACGCAGTGCATAATGAGAAAAAAAAAAACTCCGACCGTTTTTTTTAATTAAAATGCCGACTTTGTGGTCTATTTTCGTATAGTATTTATGGTTGTATTCTCGTTTTCTTGGTCTCATTTGATAGAATGGAAAACATATTACAGATATAGAGGTGTTTTTGATTGATTTTACTATAAAAAGAACCTAGAAATGGAGCTCAAAGTAGGGGAAATGTTTGATTTTTGCCAATGTTCAAAAGTAAACAAATGATGCCATTGCCCAATAAATGTCCAACTAGCCATTCTAATATGCAGTCATGAATGGGTTGATGTTATTTATACAGTTATTACAGCATTGCAGTAGTCTGCATAATAGTAAGTCTAATATTTTTTGTTTGAATAAAAATTCAAAATAGAAAGCAAGAGTAATATCAGAGGGGCCTGGAGACGTGACTGATGAACAAAGAAAACGTTATTTTAGAGCCTGGAATGTCTGCATTGTTCATTCTGGACTTTATTTTGAAATTGTCATATTTTTTAGTTTTCGTGAAATTGGCCAAATTGCAAATTTCTGACCACATTATTAGGTAGTTGAAATCAGTAAATGGGCAGTTTCTTGTACTCAATCGATAGAAAAAATGAAGTTCTAAAGAAATAGCTATGAGTTTGGGCGACTGGAACAATGGAATTAGCCGAAAATAGGGCTCAAAGTGGGCGAAATCGCCGATTTGTAAACAGCGGCGAGGTCGCTAACTTCGCGAGAGCATAATTCCGTCAGTTTTCCATCAAATTTCGTTTTTTTGGTGTCATTACAATCGGGAAAAGATTCTCTATCATTTCATAAGAAAAAATAATTTTTTTTTTTTAAATTTTGCGACACCAGGAGACACCTCAGGATTGGGGGTTGCGACAGTCAAAGGGTTAATCTCGTCATACTTGGATTTATCTGACTTGACTTCCTCCTTGGCTTGTGACACATTTGTACTTGATCCACCTTTGGATTGTAACAAACTTGTAGCAGGTGCAGGGGACTCCATGGGATGTATCAAACAACTTGTTCCAGGCTTTTCAAAGAAGAGCATGAGGAACTTGCTCAACTTCTTGGCTTCCTCCTCTAACTTTTGTCTCTTCTGTCCTTCAGCTCTACTTTCCTTCTTTGTGAAGAAACTTTTCATGGTCTTTTTACATAGTGCTCTGTAATAAGGAAATGAAACTTTTAATAAGAACATTAAATTTTTAAAGATTTTTCACAAAATTCTAGACTACCTCCCTAGTTTGTGTGGGAGAATGGTCTTAACTGCCAGTTGGCACTGAGCAGTGGTACTGTGAGGTATGTGGTCATGCAGCTCCCAGCATTGTATTGTTACCTAATAATTTATATACTAAATGGTTTAACCCTTTGACTGTTTTGGTCGTATATATACGTCTTATGCGCCACTGTTTCGGACGTATTTACATGCGTAAATTCTAGCATCTTCAAATCAAGCAGGAGAGAGCTGGTAGGTCCACATTTGAGAGAATGGGGCTGTGTGGTCAGTGTGCACCACATAAAAAAAATCCTGCAGCACGCAGTGCATAATGAGGAAAAAAAAAAACTGACCTTTTTTTTTTGGATTAAAATGCCGACTTTGAGGTGTATTTTCATGTAGTATTTATCATTGTATTCTCGTTTTCGTGGTTTCATGTGATAAAATGGAAAACATGTTATAGAAAGAGAGATGATTTTGATTAGTTTCAAGATGAAAACGACCTTGAAATTGAGCTCAAAGTAGCGGAAATGTTTGATTTTTACCAATGTTAAGGAGTAAGCAAATCACAATACACGTCCAATACACGTCAACTGGGGAGTCTAATATTCTTTCACTAGTGCACCGATATTATTTATACCATTTTTACAATAATGCAGTAGTCTGCATAACAGTAAGTTTTGTATTTTTTTGTATGAATAAAAAATCAAAACAGAAAGCAATAGTAATATAAGAGGGGCCTAGAGACATGACTGATGAACAGAGGATATGTTATTTTAGTGCCAAGAATGTCTACATTGTTTATTTTGGACCCAATTTTGAAATTGGCATCTTTTTTAATTTGTGTGAAATTGGTCAAATTGCCAATTTCTGACCACTTTATTGGGTAGTTCAAATTGGTAAATGGGCGGTTTCTTGTACTCGACTGATAGAAAAAATGGAGTTCTAAAGAAATAGCTATGAGTATGTTCAACTGGAACAACGGAATTGGCTAAAAGCAGGGCTCAAAGTCGGCGAAATTGCCGATGCGTATACGTCGCTGAGAGTGCTAACTTCGCGGGAGCGTAATTCCGTGAGTTTTCGACCATATTTCGTGCTTTTGGTGTCATTACCATTGGGAAAAGATTCTCTGTCATTTCATGAGGATTATTTTTTTTTTTCCAAAAATTTTGCGACATAGAATGACAGTTTCAGAAAAGGGCTTGCAACAGTCAAAGGGTTAACAATCAAGCCATTCTAGTGCTTCTCACCCATTATAATCAAAGACAGATCAAACATCTGAAGAAAATTCTTTTTTTCACTATCTGAGGATGGCTTGTCTGACTTTAACCCTTTGACTGTTTTGGTCGTATATATACGTCTTACACGCCACTGTTTCGGACGTATTTATATGCGTAAATTCTAGCAGCTTCAAATCAAGCAGGAGAAAGCTGCTAGGCCCACATGTGAGAGAATGGGTCTGTGTGGTCAATGTGCACCACATAAAAAAGATCCTGCAGCACACAGTGCGTAATGAGAAAAAAAATTGATCATTTTTTTGGATTAAAACGCCGACTTGAGGTGTATTTTCGTATAGTATTTATCATTGTATTCTCGTTTTCATGGTCTCATGAGATAAAATGAAAAACATATTACAGAAATAGAGATGATTTTGATTAGTTTCACGATGAAAACGACCTTGAAATTGAGCTCAAAGTAGCAGAAATGCTCGATTTTTACCAATGTTCAGGAGTAAGCAAATCACACTACACGTCCAATACACGTCAACTGGGGAGTCTAATATTCTTTCACTAGTGCACCGATATTATTTATACCATTTTTACAATAATGCAGTAGTCTGCATAACAGTAAATTTTGCATTTTTTGTATAAATAAAAAATCAAAATAGAAAGAAATAGTAATATAAGACGGGCCTAGAGACATGACTAATGAACAGAGGACATGTTATTTTAGTGCCAAGAATGTCTACATTGTTTATTTTGGACCCTATTTTGAAATTGGCATCTTTTTTAATTTGCATGAAATTGGCCAAATTGCCAATTTCTGACCACTTTATTGGGTAGTTGAAATCAGTAAATGGGTGGTTTCTTGTTCTCAACTGATAGAAAAAATGGAGTTCTAAAGAAATAGCTATGAGTTTGGTCAATTGGAACAACATAATTGGCCAAAAACAAGGTTCAAAGTCGGCGAAATCACCGATGCATATATGTCGCCAAGACCGCTAACTTCGCGGGAGCGTAATTCCATGAGTTTTCGACCAAATTTTGTACTTTTGGTGTCATCACCATTGGGAAAACATTCTCTATCATTTCATAAGAATTTTTTTTTTTTTCCAAAAAATTTTGCGACGTAGAATGACAGTTTCAGAAAGGGGCTTGCGACAGTCAAAGGGTTAATAGAAACTTCTCAATGGTGTCCCCTTCATGTGGTGCCCAGGGTATGTGCCATACCTTAGGCGTACACCACTGAGCATTAACACTCACAATGCTCTCATACATTCCCCTTTTTGCCTCCATGGATAACATTCTTTGTCTCCACTGGTGCCTCAGTGCACCACTCAACTTTTTTCCTCGTCAGTTCTGCTGTTCACCTTGTCTTTCATAGACCCATGAAATGGTACAAGTTATAGAAATTAAAATCCAAAAATAGAAGTTATGTTGAAATTTTTGTGGTAGAAATCTAAAACAGATGAAAAACTCTACTTTGTAAATACAGTACCATACATACTGTACACATTACTCATTATTTAATAAGAGATTAGAGAGAAAATAATTTGACATAAATTTGACTCTGCAGTACTTCATATTACCTGGAGTTTACCTGGAGAGAGTTCCGGGGGTCAACGCCCCCGCGGCCCGGTCTGAGACCAGGCCTCCTGGTGGATCAGAGCCTGATCAACCAGGCTGTTGCTGCTGGCTGCACGCAAACCAACATACGAGCCACAGCCCGGCTGATCCGGAACTGACTTTAGGTGCTTGTCCAGTGCCAGCTTGAAGACTGCCAGGGGTCTGTTGGTAATCCCCCTTATGTGTGCTGGGAGGCAGTTGAACAGTCTCGGGCCCCTGACACTTATTGTATGGTCTCTTAACGTGCTAGTGACACCCCTGCTTTTCATTGGGGGGATGGTGCATCGTCTGCCAAGTCTTTTGCTTTCGTAGTGGGTGATTTTCGTGTGCAAGTTCGGTACTAGTCCCTCTAGGATTTTCCAGGTGTATATAATCATGTATCTCTCCCTCCTGCGTTCCAGGGAATACAGGTTTAGGAACCTCAAGCGCTCCCAATAATTGAGGTGTTTTATCTCCGTTATGCGCGCCGTGAAAGTTCTCTGTACATTTTCTAGGTCGGCAATTTCACCTGCCTTGAAAGGTGCTGTTAGTGTGCAGCAATATTCCAGCCTAGATAGAACAAGTGACCTGAAGAGTGTCATCATGGGCTTGGCCTCCCTAGTTTTGAAGGTTCTCATTATCCATCCTGTCATTTTTCTAGCAGATGCGATTGATACAATGTTATGGTCCTTGAAGGTGAGATCCTCCGACATGATCACTCCCAGGTCTTTGACGTTGGTGTTTCGCTCTATTTTGTGGCCAGAATTTGTTTTGTACTCTGATGAAGATTTAATTTCCTCATGTTTACCATATCTGAGTAATTGAAATTTCTCATCGTTGAACTTCATATTGTTTTCTGCAGCCCACTGAAAGATTTGGTTGATGTCTGCCTGGAGCTTTGCAGTGTCTGCAATGGAAGACACTGTCATGCAGATTCGGGTGTCATCTGCAAAGGAAGACACGGTGCTGTGGCTGACATCCTTGTCTATGTCGGATATAAGGATGAGGAACAAGATGGGAGCGAGTACTGTGCCTTGTGGAACAGAGCTTTTCACCGTAGCTGCCTCGGACTTTACTCTGTTGACGACTACTCTCTGTGTTCTGTTAGTGAGGAAATTATAGATCCATCGACCGACTTTTCCTGTTATTCCTTTAGCACGCATTTTGTGCGCTATTACGCCATGGTCACACTTGTCGAAGGCTTTTGCAAAGTCTGTATATATTACATCTGCATTCTTTTTGTCTTCTAGTGCATTTAGGACCTTGTCGTAGTGGTCCAATAGTTGAGACAGACAGGAGCGACCTGTTCTAAACCCATGTTGCCCTGGGTTGTGTAACTGATGGGTTTCTAGATGCGTGGTGATCTTGCTTCTTAGGACCCTTTCAAAGATTTTTATGATATGGGATGTTAGTGCTATTGGTCTGTAGTTCTTTGCTGTTGCTTTACTGCCCCCTTTGTGGAGTGGGGCTATGTCTGTTGTTTTTAGTAACTGTGGGACGACCCCCGTGTCCATGCTCCCCCTCCATAGGACGGAAAAGGCTCGCGATAGGGGCTTCTTGCAGTTCTTGATGAACACAGAGTTCCATGAGTCTGGCCCTGGGGCAGAGTGCATGGGCATGTCATTTATCGCCTGTTCGAAGTCATTTGGCGTCAGGATAACATCGGATAAGCTTGTGTTAATCAAATTTTGTGGCTCTCTCATAAAAAATTCATTTTGATCTTCGACTCTCAGTCTGGTTAGCGGCTTGCTAAAAACTGAGTCATATTGGGACTTGAGTAGCTCACTCATTTCCTTGTTGTCATCTGTGTAGGACCCATCCTTGTTTAAGTAGGGGCCCAATACTGGACGTTGTTCTCGATTTTGATTTGGCATAGGAGAAGAAATACTTTGGGTTTCTTTCGATTTCATTTATGGCTTTTAGTTCTTCCCGCGATTCCTGACTCCTAAAGGATTCTTTTAGCTTAAGTTCGATGCTTGCTATTTCTCTGACCAGTGTCTCCCTACGCATTTCAGATATATTGACCTCTTTTAGCCGCTCTGTTATTCTTTTCCGTCGCCTGTAAAGGGAGCGCCTGTCTCTTTCTGTTTTACATCTACTCCTCCTTTTTCTTAGAGGAATA